TTCGGCTTCTGTGTCTCCCTCTCTCTCTTACCCTCCCCCGCTCCTGCTGTGTCTCTTTTTCTTTTTTTTTTAATTTTTTTTTCAACATTTATTTATTTTTGCGACAGAGAGAGACAGAGCATGAACGGGGGAGGGGCAGAGAGAGAGAGGGAGACACAGAATCGGAAACAGGCTCCAGGCTCCGAGCCGTCAGCCCAGAGCCTGACGCGGGGCTCGAACTCCCGGACCGCGAGATTGTGACCTGGCTGAAGTCAGACGCTTAACCGACTGTGCCACCCAGGCGCCCCTGTGTCTCTTTTTCAAAAATAAACATTTTTTAAAAATTGAAAAACGTTATTTCCTCATGAATAATTTTATAGTTCTTATTTGGAGAACTTAAACATTTCCACGGAGAGCGCATTCAGTGTGTGCAAACCCAGCGCACAGTTGTGCTTACAGAGAAAGGGAGAGAGCTGTAAGGTGCTTCCGGCCAGCGGCAGCATCCTGCACAGAAGGACGTTCGCCTGTGACAGGCCAGCACCAGGCAGGCAGCTCACGGGGGGCTGGCGGCCGCCAGAGCCGGGCTAGGGGGATCTATGTGTTTTCTTTAAGTAAGGTGCTCCTTGGCGGATTTGGAAACTCCAGCTGTTCATTTACACGTCAGCTCTTGTGTCAGAGCCCGGTATCCGGCACGGAGAATTTTCCAGCCTTCACGAATCTAAGTGTGGAAGTTGTATTTTTTTTTTTTTTAAGTGTATTTATTTTGAGAGAGAGCACGCATGCGTGGAGGAGCGGCAGCGAGAGAGGGGGGGAGAGAATCCCAAGCAGACTCCGCACCGTCACCACAGAGCCTGACACGGGGCTCGAACCCACAAACCGTGAGATCATGACCTGAGCCTAAGTCAAGAGTCCCGACCGAGCCCCCCAGGCACCCTGTCTTCTGGCTCTTAAAGCTACGGTTTGCAAAGGAAAACAGGCTTTAGGCGAAGGTGCCCGAGCCTTTCTCAGGCAGGCAGGTGTGTTTCGGTGAGCTTTGTCCCCATTCGTGGGCCGGCATGCAAAGAACGTTCCGGCAAGCCTCAGTCGTCTCCTTATCCACAGAGACCTCCCCCTTCCCTGAGCAAGTACGCCTGCTTTCACTCCTGTCCCTGCTCTCCCTCCTGGCACACGTGCGGGGCCTCGGGACGTCTGTCAGGTGCCAGGTGTGCTCAGTGTGCGTGTTAGGCAGTCCCTGTGAGCGAGAGAGTCCCTTTGTGCCGGTTATCTAGCCCGGCCTCACGAGGCGAACGTGACTAAGGGGTGGCGGGTCTAGGGTTCAAATCCCCCTGTGGTTCCACCGTCTGCTCTTCTAAACCCGGGACCAGGTAAGCGGTTCGGCTTCCAGACTGCGAGTCCCGTTTGGGAACACATTCGTTCAGCTGGCGCTCCATGCTGGTGCAGAGCCCGCGCTTGTGACCTTGGCAGCGAGGCCAGGAAGCAGGAGCCCGAGCGGGGAGGGGATGGACAGGGACCAGCCGCGGCTCCACGCATCTGTCTGGCCGAGGAGGGAGGCCCCCACGCGGCGGGCACTCGGGCCGCCGTCCGGCTGCTTCCCGTGCTTTTCTTTCGTTCTCCGGTGGCTTCACGGGGCACGGACTCCAGTGCCTGGTTTACGGACGAGACGAATGGGCTCAAACGGACCGGTCTGCAGGCGCGGGGCCTCTGAGCCGGGTGCCTCCGAGCACGCGTGCTTAAGCACCGCCAAGGACAAACTCCCTTGGTCCGTGGGTAGCCACTTACCGTGGACTCAAAACCATTCACACTTGGCAAAGGTCGGCGAAGATTGGAAGGGCCCGCTGGTTCTGGCTGACTGCGCAGCTCAGAGAAGAAAATGAGTCTCGAAAGTCTATCAAGAGACTTCTCTCCACATAAGTGGTCCATAAAACAGACGCGGGAAGTTTCACAGAGGAGAGCCCCCACAGTAAGTTTGCGCATCTTCAGAGTGCATAAATTTATAGCGGAGTGGTTAAAATCATGGGTTCCGGAATCTTCAGACCTGACTCTAAATCCGATCACCGGACGTGTGGTGATTTACACAAGTTACTTCGTGCCCCCTGACCTGCAGGCGCAGCTAACGGTGTTGGGCGCTCGGCTCCGTAACACGGGGCGTGTGCGGAGTCGCTCGGCAAACTGTGCTTGAAGACGGGCTGAAAAGTCAGCACAGACGATGCGGTCAGCCAAATCCGGAAGATGGAGCTTCTGCACAACACACGACCTGAGCTGACCTGACCTGGGTCAGACGACCCAGCTTCTTCCAACAGACTGCCGGAAAACCAGAGGAAACCTAGCGGAGGAGGAGACGTTGACTGGAGGAGATGTGTAAATCTGGTTTGGATCCATGCGAGCGTGAACACACCAACGGAAACGCTTGTGAGCCAATGGGGGACATGTGAGCACCAACCAGATACTTCGGACCAAGAGACCGCATTTATGTAGGATATCGGTACCGTGGTCGTGTGTTTTCAGGACCCTTATCCTACAGAGATGTGGCCAAAATAGCACAGATGTAATGACGTCTCATATTCAAAACCATCTGACTTCAGAACCGTAGGGGGAGGGAGCAGATTACGCATAAAACAAGAATACCCGTGACCAATTACCGTAGCCGATACGATACAAAATTACCAAATACCATTAACCAGTCCCTTCACTGTCTTCAAAAGTCAGCATGTTCCTGTGCGGCCCACACGAATCCTGACGGGGAGGATGGATGGACAGCCGGACACGTCCCTTTTGATGGGCCCGCCGAGCACGGCCCTCCCCCCACGTGCATCCAGTCTGCGAGATAAACGTGGGATCAGCTGTCAAAGGAGATCCGTTCCTCCTCCGCCTCAGCTCTGTCACACTGTCACTGACAGATTATCGATTTCAGTGAACGTGGAGGGGCTCACCGGGGAGCCAAGGTCAGGTCCCTCCAGGGCCCTCGTTGAGTGGGACCTGGAGTAGTTGTCAAAGTGACCCTCCTGGGACTGGGAAAGGTGCCGGGGAAGCAGCCTTTGTCAAGGAATTGAAAGAGCGGCTGACTCAGAGCCGAGTTACCTCTGAGACCCCTGCAGTCTGGACGGGACGGCCGCGGTTCCCACTGCCCTTCAGCTTTGGGTGACCCTCATCTGGGAATTCAGATCAGTCAGGGCCAACCAAAGAGAATACAGATTTAATTAAAAACAAGTTGATTAGGGGCGCCTGGGTGGCGCAGTCCGTTAAGCGGCCGACTTCAGCCAGGTCACGATCTCGCAGTCCGGGAGTTCGAGCCCCGCGTCGGGCTCTGGGCTGATGGCTCAGAGCCTGGAGCCTATTTCCGATTCTGTGTCTCCCTCTCTCTCTGCCCCTCCCCCGTTCATGCTCTGTCTCTCTCTGTCCCAAAAAAATAAATAAATGTTAAAAACAAAAAAACAAAAAAACAAGTTGATTACTTGCCACCTTCAGAATTCGCACAGAAATTATAGCCAAAAACCACAAGGCTTTGCCCCGGAAGCCAGAAAGGCCTAGCTGAATGAGCATCCCCTCGCCAGAATGTGTCCCTCTGTTAGCCACGCAGCAGACTCTTGGTCCAAAGTACACGCGGCCGGTGGTGGGTGCCTAGGCGGTACCCACAGGGCTTCAGACCCCTCCTCCAGCGCGTTGCCAGTTCCTGCACAACCAGGACAGCGTTACTCACGTTCGGGGATGGTCACACCCGGCCCGGCCCACTCCGCCACCCCGGCTTCGGGTTTCACGGCCTCCAATCCGGCCTCGAACCCAGTGGGGCTGGGTGGCACCGCTCCATCGGGCCTTCCTGCTGGAAGAGCGCCTGGAGAGCGAGGACGCACAGGGGTGCACGTGTGTCCTCTCGCCAGGGGCCCCAGCTACATCTGGTCCGGCTTCCTCGGCAATCAGCGGGGGCCCCGGGTCTATGCCTTCGCCAACGGACGGGGAAGGAGTGGCCTCGGCCAACCTCGGGGCTCCGAGGTCACCTCTAGCAGCAGCGACGTGGGTCCCCTCCAGGGAACACAGGTGACGGACCTGAGCACGTCGCCCAGCTTTGAGAGCCGGTGCTTGCCCCTCGCCGTCACCTGGGGAAGACCCCCCTAAAAATACACGCCCACACTGGTCACCGCCGGCCCTGCCGCACGCAAGCCACACATGACGGGCGGCTGTGCAGTTGTAGCCACGGCGAGCGTGTCAGGAGGAAGGGCGCACGGGCTCCTGCCTGGCTCCGAAGGCTCGTGGGAGAAAGGAAACCACTCTGGCCACAGCCCCCAGCACCTGCCAGCTTCCCAGGGTGTCCCGTCGTCTCTGGGCTCTGAGGGCCCGTGCTCTCCCGCAGCTTCACCGCTTTCAGAGCTCGAGGGGACACCAAGAGCCACGGGAGATGAGAGAGGAAGGCAGAGAACCAGGTTTCTTCTCAAACAGCCAGGTGCCTCCAGAGGAAAAGGTAAGAAAAGTACCTTTTCAGTCACAGGTTCTCGGCTCTCTGCCGGCACAGACACAAATACTCGCAGGGAGAGCCTGTCGGGGCCCGTGAGGCTGGCAGAGCACCTCTCCTCACCCGTCAACTGCGGACGCCACGTAGAGGGTTTACCCCTCGGGCTCTGCCACGGCCAGAGCTTCAGAGAGTGGCGTTAGGGTGCCAGACAGGAATGACAGAAATGGCCTGGCTCACTTCACCCAGCGGAGCCGGAGAGGTGAGTGTTCCCCGGGGCTCCCACCAACCGCAGGGGCGGCTCGTCCAGGTCTCCCACATCACGCATTGGTCATCGGCGCGGTAGCGGGGCCCCAGGCAGGGCGGTGACGGGCTCCAAGGTCCCTCGATGACCCGCCGTTCCTGCTCTAATCTGATGAGCATCTTGTACCAAATCACTGCCCCAAACCCATTAACCCCGGGAACCAAATGCAGCGAGATCGGCTAGAACACGAAAGCAAGACCCGGCTGGAGCCAGTGCGGTCGAATGGGTTTGAGGCGGAGTTTGGAGGCCATGGCTTTAAATGAAAATGCTTGATAATATTTTGCTTTTTTGATTTATTTTCCTTTCTAGAAGCGGGAATTACACTGTACCTGGGCAAATGGCTTATAAGGTTTCACAGATTCTGCAAAGAAATACGTATTTTTTGAAATGTCACTTTCTGTTAACGTTCTTGTGAGAAAACTCAGCCAACAGTCCCATAAACCTTTAAACCACACTGAACGTAGCGAAGCTGCCTCGACAGAGGCCAAAGGGCAACACTTTCCTCCTCTGCCTGGGTGGCCAGCGGCGCTCTGCACTCTGCCTTTTCTGCTGTCCACAGGTTTCCCTGTGTTTCTGCAGCGGGCAAGGCTGGGGCGGCCGTGCCGTCACTACGTACAAATGCCAGTCCTCGACATACAGACGATGAAAACCACACGTTGGGGTTCAGGCTGACGTGGAGAACCAGAAATCTACAAGAACTCAATTCGTGTTTTTTAAATACTTTATATGGTAAAAATACAGCAAAAATATTTTATTTTGTTCAAAGACGAAAAAATATACTGCTATGGTCACGGTTCTCAGGATGATCCACGTGGTCTCTGGCTCCCCGACGACGCACGGTGGTGTGGGCCGGCTCCGGACGCGGCGCCCGCAGCCTCAGTCGTTTATCAGAGCCAAGATCATACTGCGGGGAGAAGAGATCGGTGTTACCGACGTCTCCTCAGCGGCGTTCCTGCACAGCCCGGTCCGGCCACGCTGCCGTCTGAGGCTCAGCAAGGAACAGACCATCGTTTACACGTAAAAGAAAGAATGTCCAGGGGCGCCTGGGGAGCTCAGTCAGCTGAGCTTCTGACTCTTGATTTCAGCTCAGGTCGTGAGATCGAGCCCCGAGTGGGGCTCTGTGCCGACAGTGCGAGCCTGCTTAGGATTCTCTCTCTCCTTCTCTTCCCCTCCCCTGCCCGTGCTTGCTCTCTCTCTAAATAAACTTTAAAAAAACGTGTAATCAGGGCCTCTCAAAGCCTTAATTTTTTTCATTTAGAAAAAAATAACTGGGGTGGGGGTGGGAGTACAACCTGAAACCAACGTTGGGCTACGGTTTGGAGCAAACACAGAAAACCAAACAAGACTTTAATTCTCTGCACATGCCAACTGCAGCCCGCCGGTGCACCGGGCAGGACCCTCGCTTCCACGCAGGGCTCCGGGCTGTTCCTGGGCGCCGCCCGCGCAGCCCGACGGCGTCTGACACTCAGCGGTCGCTCAGTAAACGCTCTGCTAAAACCACCACAGTTAACAGCAGCAACGGAACTACCATCATTTTTTTCCCTGCTTAGATGCCCAGACTTCACAGAAATCCCCTCACACGTGACTAATGCAGTGATCCGTTGCCCAAATTTAACCAAACCAAGTGCAGCCCACGTGCAGCACAGATTCACGGGAGCGGCTAATCCCCGTGAAAGATTCTGAGAGTTTACCGCCAGTCAGCACAAACCTACATGCTTTACATGCATTATCTCATTTAGTCCGGATCATAATCCAACGAGGCAGGCATTAGATACCGTCCCATTTTCAGACAAAGAAACTGAGGCATAGAGAGGTTAAGAAGCAGCCCCGGGTCACACGGTAAGTGGTCGCCCCCAGACTGCACGAGCCCAGCACCCAAGCAGAACACCAAGAGCATCGACCCCATCACTATCTGAAGAATACAGGCATTTCTCCCTTTCATTCTGTGTAAGAAACACGGACGGATGTGAGTGTCCCCCACGCGGCAGGCGATTCCAGACAGAAGCCGCGTGAAATCCCCGCGTTAGAAACCTGACAAGGGGCAGCTGGGGGACTCAGTCGGTTGAGCATCTGATTTCGGCTCAGGTCACGATTTCATGGTTGATGAGTTCGAGCCCCACGTCAGGCTCTGTGCTGTCGGCCTCTGCCCCCCTCTCTCTGCCCCTCCCTTGCTCACACGCTGGCTCTCTCAAAAATAAGTAAACGTTAAAAATAAATTATTAAAGGGGCGCCTGGGTGGCTCAGTCTATTCAGCATCTGAGTTTTAATTTTGGCTCATGTCATGATCTCCTGGTTGACAGGTTCGAGCCCCACGTCAGGCTCTGTGCCGGCAGCACGGACCCTGCTGGGGATGCTCTCTACCCCTCCCCTGCTCACACTCAGTCTCTCAAAATGAACTTAAAGAAAAAACCTGCCATCCCTATGCAGTTTCTAAATATCGGAACCCTCTGAGTGACAAAAATTTAGGCCAACACAAGTTCTTTCTAACAGTCCTCATGCCTGTGTGAAAAATTAAAGTTTACCTGGGAAGAAAAATAGGAATGATCTCGTTAAGCCTGCATAAGAAAGGTTAAGGCTGACTTCTAGTCTCCTAAAGGTTTAATCGAATCATACACACAATTTTTTTCTCTTCTTCGCTCGACTCCTTGGCCTGGCGACAGATAAGGGAAAAGGTGGCATGTTTCTCCCTAAAACACAATTTAAGGTTCAGACAGGACTGCACGAGGCTTCCCGCGTCTGGGGGCCAGTCCTTGCTGGTACCCGTCACTCCCCATCCGCTACGACTGGAAGGCGGACGCGGTTTTACGGGGACAGGCTGCCTGGCACGTGGCGAGGCAGCGCACGCCTACGTCCTCACCACATCCCCCGGAGACCCGAGGCGGCCGGTCCCTGGGAGCCGGGGACAGCCTCCGCAGCCACGGAGCGACTAACATCCCGAGTACCTACGGCAGGTCACACAGATCGCTGATCCGATGACACACAAGTCTAGGCCGGGAGAATTCCACAGGGTCCCCCGAGGCTCCGCAGCGTTGCCGCAGAACCCACAGCCCCCCACCGCGAGCAGACGTCCGTGCAGGGCAACGCCAGGGGGCCGTGAACTCACCTGTAAAGATACATGAAAAAACAGAGCAAGTGGAAACCAAGCTTGATCATGGCTTCCTTCATGTGCGACTTCAGCTGACCCCGATTGTGGATCTCTGTCGGGTCGAACACTCCCATGTTACCACTCGGCACCATAATGAACCTGATGCACACGCGATAAAAGGAAATCCAATCATCAGCACAAATATTCAAAGTAAGTAGCCAACAACAACCAGCCTTTAAAAGTGACCAATCACAGGGGCGCCTGGGTGGCTCACTTGGTTAAGCTGCAGCTCAGGCCATGATCTCGCAGTTCATGAGTTCAAGCCCCACGTCAGGCCCTGTGCTGACAGCTCAGAGCCCGGAGCCTGCTTTGAATTCTGTGTCTCCCTCTCTCTCCCTGCCTCTCCCCTGCTCGTGCGCGCTCGCTCTCTCTCGCGCTCTCTCAAAAACATAAAAAAATAAAAGTGACGAATCACAGCAACCTAAAATTCAGACCCGACACGGACGGACTGAGTATGATGATGTCATTGGCCACCATGTGGTTTTCCTCTGAAAGATACAACGCTTGTTAATTTTCGGCCCTCTAAACAAATCTGGTAACACTCTAGAGAAGGGTATTTTATGCTTTGAGACCCTTTTACCCACCTGTAGAAAACTTCTAAACCGGTCATACCTACAGCCGTTTCCCAGCAGACACAGCGAAGGGGACTCCAAAACCAAACCAATTTTATCAAGTTCTCAGAAACTTGTTTATCTAGAAAGTTCTAAAGTAATTAATACAATTCGTCCCACAACACCTTTACGGGGAGGAGTAGTCTCAGTTATTCCCATGTCACAAAGGAGGGAGGCTCCTGATCCGAGGATGACACGCCTCCATCCGCACGGTCTGTGAATGGTGCCGGTTTACAGACCCAATTTAGAGGAGACAGAAGGGAAATGATCTAGAGTAAGTGCTACCCCGAAAAAACAAAACCCCTCTTCAGTTCAGACAGTAAATAGTTCAGACACGGCACGTAACGTCTAACTTTATGGAACTGTTAACAACGCAGGCTGAGTGCACGGTATTATTAAGCGATCATATCCCGACAAGTCAGAAATGCCCTCTGCGGAGCGGTGGAGGCGCAGCAGTTGTGGGGACGGGAGCAAGGGCCACAAGCCAAAGCAAGGGAGGGCACCGCGAGCCCGCTCTGCGTTCCGACGCCAGACCAGTTCAACCCAATGTTCCCAGACTCGGGAGGGACTCCCAATTTAAAAAAGTCTGAAGGCCCTGGTTTAACAGGCCGGGGAAGCCCTCAGGCTTTCCCACTTCCTTCCCATCACTGCGCGTGCACCAGGTGCTCCCCCACACGACCCCCTTTACAGCCGAGGAGCCGGCTTACTCGGGGAGCGTCCACCCGCTTCAACACCCCTCGGGACTACAGGTGCAAGTACGTGCCCTAACCTCGCACGTGCCGGTCCCTTCCTACCACACGCAGTTCTCACATGGACGTCCGTGAGATGCAAATGCCCCCGAGTTCCACAAACTTAACCACCCCCCCCCCCCCCGCCCCATTCCCCAATCCTGCCGCCCCTGAGTAACCGAGAGCTGAGCGACTCCGCTCCGTCTCAGAGCCCTCTCCCGCAGGTCCTGACTGCCCCGGCCCTTATCTGTCACCGACAGGCGGTCAGACTCCTTCTCCGTCCGCCCTCCCCTCCGAGTCCCGCTCACACGGGGGTGACCTCTGCACGTCCGCGTCACAGCCCTGCCCCCGCCCTCCGGTCCCACCCCTGCCTCCTGGCGCTTCCCCACCAGCAGGTCCTTACCACCCGATGTTCCCGGGAAATCTTCCCAAAGACCACTTCCTTCATCAGCTTAGCTGCTCAAAAGCATACAGAGCGCACAAGATGCACAAATGGCTACGAAGCACATTCGAAGGTACCCAGGTCGTTAGTCACCAGAGAAATGGGGTCAGAACCACAGTGAAACACCACGCCCAATGGGATGGCTCAAACGAAAAGTCACAGGGGCGCCGGGCGGGCTCAGTCGGAAGGGCGTGCGATCCACGATCTGGCGGTCACGACCGCGGGGGTAGACGTTACTTAAATTAAAGAAAAGAAAGACACACAACAAGAGGTGTTGGCGAGGATGTGGAGAAACAGGAACCCGCACACACAGCTGATGGGAACGCAAAATGGCGCGGCTGCTTTTGAACCCCAGGCAGCTCCTCAAAAAGTTCAATGTAAAGTTACCACACGAGCCAGCAAATCCACTCCTAGGAAAAGAAAACGTGTGTCCGCACAAAAACACGCACGTGAATGTTCACAGGGCAATTGTTCGTAACAGCCGGAAAGTACAAGCAACGGAAATGCCCATCTGCTGCATAAACAAAACGCAGGCTGTCCACACAGTGGAACAGGATTCGGCAACTAAAGGGAATGAACACGGTACCCGCCACACGGATGAGCCTGGAAAACGGTGCCGAGTGACAAAACCAGTCACAAAAGAGCATATACTGATCTCTCCTGTCTGACAGGTCTGCACAGAATAGGTTATCTTATGAGAGACAGAAGGTAAACTGATTGCTCGGGGCCAGGGGAGGGGAGGGGAGGGGAGGGGAGGGGGGGGGAGGGGGGAGGAAGGGGGGGGGGGGTGGAGTGTAGGGTAGGGGAGGGGAGGGGAGGAGAGACTGCTAATGGGTATAGGGCTTCCTTCTGGGGTGAGGAGCATGTTCTAGAACAGACTGGTGCCGGCTGCTTACGCGTATGAACATACTAGAAAGATCCTGAACAGAGAACCCGCAGCGGGTGAACGTCCTGCCACCAGCGCGCGTGCTGATACACGGGCCCCGTGGGCCGGTGCGCGCGGTTCTGGGTGGCCCTGACCGCATCAGCAGCTGTTCCGGCTCCCTCGTCCGCGCCTGCAGCCTGCCGGCCCTTACGCCTGGTGCGTCTGCCTCCAGCCCCCCAGCGCTCCCTTGTCCGCACACCCTGGAGAAGTCCTTCCCCCTCCCGTCTGTCACACCTTCCCGGGTGTGGGCTCTGCGCAGACACGCCTCCTGCGAAGGTCCCAGCGGGGGGCCTCCCCGCCACCCGTCGGGTGTCGGGTGCCCCAGCCAGCCTCGTACTGAAGCCAGCTGCCTATTTAGTCACTCAGCGTTTGCCTCTTGGCCTGCGGGCAGAGCCCGTCTCACACAGGTCTGGGCCCGCAAAAGCAGGAAGTGCAGATGTCTGCAAAGAGGAAAGGGTCCGTCTGTTGACTTTTTTTTTTTAAACCTTTTTAAGTAGCAGGTAAATTTGGGAACAGCCAGCCAAACTGTCACTGGGGGAATAAATTACCAGGGCGATAAACCCACGTGATCTTTGTGATGACGGGAAACAGAATCTGTGGAACTTTTCTGTTCCCCCCCCCCCCCCCCCCCAGTAAACCCGCTAGAACCTTCCACCATACTTGGTACCACGCACGAAGAGGCCGCATGGAGCCCGCCTCCCTTCCTCTGGCACTCTCTGCTGTCACAGACGAATGACGGCGCGGGCTCGGGAAGTCACTGAGCTACAGTCTCAGGATTCCGGCTCTCCCTCCCAAATTCCTGTTCCTGATCACAGGGATACTGAGCCATGCTCAAAGTCTGCGTGGGACGGCACCTTGCCAACTGGGGCAGGGGCCCGTGCTCTGGCTGAGCTCAGGTCAGGGTGCTGGACTCTGGGATGACCATGCAAGGACACTGAGAAACTTAAAAAGTATTGGTTTCCCTCTGGAAAAGGGGTCCAGAGATTTAAAATCCCTTCCGTGGCTCAGGTCCTAGTCTCACGATCTTTTTAAATTCATCCCCCAAATCTGCTCACTTCCTCCTCCTCACGGCCTTCTGTGTGCTATCACCTCCTCCCACCCTCCCTTATTCTTTTCTCTATCCTTCTTCTTTTCTTTAGGTCTTATTTAAATAATCTCTACACCCAACACAGGACTCGAACTAAGGACCTTAAGAGTCACATGCGCTTCTGAGCTGGCGGTACCCCATCCTTCTGATTCCAACTACACTTTATTTTTCATATTTATTTATTTACTGTTTTTTAATGTTTATTTTTGAGAGAGAGAGAGAGAGAGAGAGAGAGAGAGAGACAGAATGTGAGCAGGAGAGAAGCAGAGAGAGACAGGAGACACAGAATCCAAAGCAGGCTCCAGGCTCCAAGCTGTCAGGACAGAGCCCAGTGTGGGGCTCGAATCCATAAACCTCGAGATCATGACCTGAGCTGAAGTCAGACGCCCAACCCACTGAGCCACCCAAGCGCCCCTCTAACTGCACTTTAAAATCACATTTATGGGACTCCTGGCTGCCTCTATCAGAAAAGCACGTGACTCATGATCTCGAGGTCCTGAGTTCGAGCCTCACATTGGGTATGGAGATTACTAAAAATAAACAAACTTTTAAAAAATTAATCAACTTTAAAAAATAAAAATAAAAACTCACATGTAAAAATATGATGAATGATGACACCTCAAAAAACTAGATAAAAATAAAACCAAAACCTAAAAATCTAGCAGAGCAGCAAGGCACAATAAAAGCAATCCCATCCCCCCACAGACCTTCACAAGAAAATGCATCCCGTATAACTGCCCCACGACAATAACAGCGCATCCAGGGTGTGTCCACCGAGCGGGGCCTGAAACACCTCCTGAATGCGTTAAGTTAGAATTCTGATGTGATCTACTCTGCAGGCTTTAAAGTGAAATCCTAGGGGCGCCTGAGCAGCTCAGCTGAGCGCGTCTGACTCTTGATTTCAGCTCAGGTCCTGATCTCACAGTTGGTGAGATCGAGCCCCATGTGGGGCTCGGCACTGACAGAGTGGAGACTGCTTGGTATTCTCTCCCTCTCTCTCTCTCTCTCTCTCTCTCTCTGTCAAAATAAATAAACTTAAAACAAAATTAGAGTACAAAGATAAATTAAAAACTAAAGTGAAATTCTCTCTGAAGCATTCCCAGTATATTCTAATTAAAATCTATAACATAAGTAACAAGAATCTTATATTCTTAGACTACTGACCATTCTTATGGAAAACACACACGTCCTTAGACATCGCAACTGAACATTACAAATTGTTAAAATTTATGCGTGTAAATTCGTGTTCTGACTCTAAGACTGGACGATGCAAACTGCTATTGCCAAAGTAAACAGGAATTTATGCTGACTTCACATGGCATTCGGCTGTCAGTTATTTCGTGACTGGCACGTATTTTATTGCAGAAAAAAAGCATTAAAACATTTTTTTAAATTTTCCTTTAAATGCCAGGACACGAAGCATCAGTAAACAAACTAAACTATACTCACCGATATATATTCCAAGTGGCAACGGGCAGGTTGAGAAGGAAGATGAACCAGTGCAATGAGATGAGCATTAACACGGTGACGACGGTGTGGCCAATCAGTTCGGGAATGACCCACTGCAAGGGAAGAACACGGCGTTACATCGCCCTGCTGTGTTCTTCCTGGACGTCCGTGTTATCTGAAGCTAAGTCAGTGGATACGCAGCGTTTACAAGCTAGTGTTCCAAGATTTATTTTTAGACTCGGATGACCCAGATGTGCATACGCTGCCAATGCTCACGCCGTGCAAACACGTCACACACAGCTTAAACATAATGCACTTAAATTGCAATTAAGTTTTATCCTCAGCAAAGGTTCAGATTCATTCACTAAGCGTGTATGAATGACAACTGGGGAAAAAACGGAGCATCATTTACCTGCTATTCCGAGGTCTGTGCCAAAGCCCCTCACTCTAACCGGGGTGGTTTATATCCAAATATACACTGCCTTGCAAATCAGAATATCAATCGTAAACATTCTCCAATCTCCCGAACCATGAGGGAAATCCTTTCTAACCCCCCCCACCCTGCTCACACACACACACACACACACACACACACACACACACACACACACACGTACTTTAACAGCTCACAGTAACAGCGAGGAGCTGACCAAATAGGACAACGGACCCGGATCCGGGAATCCCAGCCTAGTGGCCCCACGGCACCCGGGCCCTTACCTACGCGTGCTGCCCACCACGGAGTACTCTACTGCTCATGCGCCAACAGCTGTGGCAGCAGGCCCTCCTTCCACCAGTAATCCTCCTCCCCTGCGAATAGAGACTTTCCTTTCCGTGGAAGTTAACAGTAACAGTAACGGGCAGACACAAACTGCCTCTTGCAGAAAGGAGAAAGGCAAAACTCAGAGAGGTTAAGTAATTTGCCCAAGGTCGCAAAGCTACTTAGTTGGCAGAATAAAATAGTCTAAGTCCAAACACACTGGGCCCAGGTCTCTCGCATTTCCATTTTAGATCCTTTATTTTTGGAAACAAAGAAGGGATTTGCTAGGCCTTAAACCTAACTGGCAATCAACAAACTTTTAAAGACGCAAAATGGAGTTTCTGAAGTGTAACCAATTGAGCACAACGCTTACAAGGGTAAGCTGCAGAAGTCAAACAAACCTGGAGCTGGATCCCTGCGCTCTCCCCTACTGATTGGCTCCGCAGGCTCAGGAAAGGTCACTCTCCCTCTCGGAGCCACGATTTTCGCATCTGTAAACCGTGGCTGAGGATGCCCACACCTGCACCACGCACCTCAGGACGCCGCTGCCCGGAAGGAGACCAGGCGTGGCCCCCGCAGAGCTGGAAACGCTTTTACTGCTACCACCGGCCGCACCCTCGGCCCCCAGCCCCCAGCGTAGCTTCCAAACTGGATTTCTTACCTTGGGAGGCAGTCACTTTGTTTTACAGCCACAAACGAGAGGCAAGAGTCTTAGGAAGCGACACTTCGCTTTCCTCTGCTTGCTTTCCTTCCTTTCAGCCAAGCCCTGTGTTTTCGTGGTCGTCCCTCCTCAGCGAGGTGTCCTCCCCCTAACTTGCTCTCTGAATACCTGCACCGGGCAGGGGCCCGGAAAGTCCTCCTGGGGAGTAACTGAACGGCACGCGACAGAACACGTGTGAACAGCTGCCCTTTCGGGTGCCCCAGCACGAGTCCAGGGGGACGCCGATGACCCCGCGGTGAGGCGGCCTGTCTACACGTCGGCCCACAGCCTGGCCCACGGCCTGGCGCCTCCGTGAGTCTGTGAGTGCCTTGCCCTAAGCACGGATAGACGGCCGTGTACCAGGAATTGAGGAAGCCCCCCCCCGAGGGGAAAACAAAGGGAAAGGAGCTCGGAGGAAGCAGATATAATGTAGGAAGCAGAAGGCAATTTCAAAACTACTCTAATCGAGATTCTCAGAGAGCCAGGACACTCACACCTGAGCAAGGGAACAAGGTCTCAGAAATGCAAACCTTGCCGTAAATGGCGTGTCCGTAGGAAATCAGAAGATGAAGCAGAAGGAATCTTAAGACCAAAAGGCAGAAAAAAACCCAAAGGGACAAAACTTCTAAAAAAGAACGGGCAGAGAATCCAGCAGATGAATTATCCAGTGCGTGAAAGCTGGTGAAAGAGAAGAGAGAAAAAGAGGGGAGGGGCGCCCGGGTGGCTCAGTCCATTGGGCGCCGGACTCTTGATTTCGGCTCAGGTCATGATCTCACAGCTTGTGAGACTGGAACCCCGTGTCGGGCTCTGTGCTGAGCATGGACCTGCCTGGGATTCTCTCTCTCCCTGCCCCTCCCCCATGTGCACATGCACAGGCTCTTTCCCTCAACATAAATAATCATTAAAAAAAAAAAAATACAACCCAGCTGGTAAAATAAATAACCATTCTCCTAAAGATGAGAAGGCTGAAAGTAATATAATGCTGATTACGCCTCGATTTTTTTTAAAAAGTCTTCCAGTTTGGCAGATAAATACACACAAAATCTTTTATTTCGAAGACTAGGTCTATCACTGTATGAAACCACATTCTGGAAAATTCAAAATAAAGAAAAAAAGAAGAGGAGGAATATAGTTTGCCAGAAATTTTAATTGTCTGAATGTCACATTTTTCCCTCATGGACCAGAGAAATAGAAGCAGATGCAGAAGAGAAAAAAACACACGGGAATGACTTCCGGGTGAAGCCGAGAGCACCTCGCAGGATTTACTGAGCTGTGACGTGAACTTTTATCCAGAAAGTCTTCTGTCTGTTCAGCTCGTAAAATGAATCAGGACTAACTGGTTTCCCTACATCCAGACAAACCCTGCGGTTCAGAGCATCCTTGCCAACACAGAGTTCTGACCATGCACTAAAGGTAAAATGGTCTCGAGACAAATCAACTAATTTATTCCATTTCTCAGCAAACCACGAAAAGAAGGTCATCTTTTATGCAACAAAACAGACTGGGTTTCGACACAGAAGACAAAAACGATTATCCTCATAACAAGCCTTTTCGTCCTAAAGTACCTACGGACACAGGGACAAGGTAGAAGCCGAGCAAAGCAACAAATTTCAAGTGGGGTCTCCCAGTACAGTTTCACGATCTAAAATATTGCAGAAACACAGTAGCTCTACAAACATTCCAACGAGTAGGAAACAACATGCACTTCAAAACCAAATATACATATGTTGGTTATCTATAATAACCTCAAACACAAAAAAAGAGTAAGGAAATGTCTTACCTTGTTTAATTTGGAGCAACATGATCTAGCATTAATGTAATCACATTCTAAATCGGACAATGTAATTATCTGAGGATCAAGATAAGGAATTACAAGACTTTTTTTTTTTTTAAACTTTTTGTTTTATTGTTTTTGAGAGAGCGCGTGCACGAGAGAGCGTCAGCAGGGGAGGGGCAGAGACAGAGAGGGAGACACAGACTCCTTAGCAGGCTCCAGGCTCCAGGCTCCGAGCTGTCAGCACAGAGCCTGATGTGGGGCTCGAACTCATGAACCGTGAGATCATGACCCAGGCCACCCCGGTGCCCCTACAAGACTTTTTTCTTTGTTATAGCTAAGTGTTTTTAAGTTTCGGAACAAAACCCAACTGTAGTGCAGAATTAGATTTGCCTTGAAAAAATTTTAGTTATTTCCTTAAAGTTCACTCATTAGACAACTCAATTTTCTCATTTATGTTCCTTCAACAAATTATTTTCACAAAAGAATCTTAGTATGCTCAATTCTCAAGTGACCCATACCAGAACATCCAATCTGAGTTCCTCTAAAGTGAAAATGACCATAAGTGGGGCGCCTGGGTGGCGCAGTCAGTTAAGCGTCCGACTTCAGCCAGGTCACGATCTCGCGGTCCCTGAGTTCGAGCCCCGCGTCGGGCTCTGGGCTGATGGCTCGGAGCCTGGAGCCTGTTTCCGATTCTGTGTCTCCCTCTCTCTCTGCCCCTCCCCGTTCATGCTCTGTCTCTCTCTGTCCCAAAAATAAATAAAAAACGTTGAAAAAAAAAAAAAAAGTAAATGACCATAAGAATCGGAAAATAAGACCTATAAAAACAACTTAAATGTGAAAAACCTGAATAGAAAAACAGTGTTGATTTACGACAGACCCACAAAACGTCTTCGAAGACTCAAGATGTGCGAAAAGGAAACAGGACACACACTGTGGATACAGCGGGGTCACAGGTGAGCAGTGGTTATGGCTCCTCATAGAGGATTTGTTTTCCTAGTATTTTTCTCTCGCAAACTTTGCACAGTAAGCACACGTTCTAGTAGAATTAAGCAAAGAGTGAGTTTTAGCATAGAGTATAAACTCACAAAAGTGTGAGGACAGACACAGAAGGAAACGGCCTCAACTGAACGATACAAGGCCTGGAAGCTACTGTCAAGTAAATTCTCCACCCCCACCCCCTGCCCCCCAATAGCTGGGACAAAGCAGAAAGGAAAACAACAAAACGCTGAAGATCACTGTCGGCAGGCGACAGACACGCGGGTTGATCGCGCTACGCTCTCCACTGTAATGTTTGGAAACGTCCAATAACACAAGTGAAAGCAAGTGTTCTCACCCAAATTCTAAACATTTCTGTACGGGTATTCCCCCATCACCTCGACACAACGAAAGTCAAACTCGTCACCGTCTCCACAAATTGTTCCACGTCCACGCGGGTTTCGTTCCTGTCGCCGACACAAGCATCACTTGTCCAGGCTCAAACCCCGGGGGGTCATCGCTGCCTTCGTGCTCACACCCCACAAGCAGCCTTCACCGGCCCGCTGTGCCCGAGAATCCTGCCTTCCACCGGCCCACGGTTTGAACCCTGTTTCAAACCCACACAAGCCCATTCCCCAATGGTTTCTTACCTTCCAGTCTTTCCTCTTTCCAACCCACTCTACAGACTCATCTTCCTAACACGCCATTTGTTAATGTCAAGAACATTCCATGGCTCCCTACTGCCTCGAGGATAGACTTGAAAGCTCAAGTTGTCCCCACCTTCACAGGCAAACCTTTCAAAGTTTGATCTAATCCAGCCTTTCCAACCTTGACCTTCTCCGGCCAAAATCAACCGTGTGCTCCGGATGCTCTATGCCTTGACCCCATCACCCAGGAATGCCATAAACATGCCTGTCTCTGCACCTTTGCTCTTGTCTGACTCTGAACACCCACCCCTCCCCTTCGGCACAGGCTTTCTTCGGGGTTCGAAGTCCAGGAAACTCCCATCCCTACAGAACTTCTACCCGGACCATCTCTACCTCCAGAAGGAAGCTCAGGCAACTATCCAAAATGCCAGCAACGTGCTGAATCCCAGCGAAACACACCCCACACGCACCTTAATGTCTACCTAACACTTTCCTTTGTACACAATTTGCTGGAAGCCAAGGCTATTTTAAATCGAGCCTAGCTTTCCAAACATCAAAACCAGAAACCCAGGTTTTCTTTCTCTGTTAAGTCCCAGTTCTTTATGTCATAAGAGGGACATAGGTCACCAAAATTTAGGCCAGTAATCCTGCTCTTTCAGTCATTTCACCAAGCCTAATAAAACTGGAGGTTCTTGGGTGCCTGGCTGGCTCAGTCGGTGGAGCCTGCAACTCTTGAGCCCGGGGTCATGAATTTGAGCCCCCTGTTGGGTGCAGACATTACTTAAAAATAAAATCTTGAGGGGTGCTGGGGTGGCTCAGTCCGTCAAGCACCTGACTTTGGCTCAGTTTGTGTGTTCGAGCCCCGCGCCGGGCTCTGTGCTGACAGCTCGAGACTGGAGCCTGTTTTGGATTCTGTGTCTCCCTCTCCCTGCCCCCCCCCCCCCCCGCCCCACTTATGCTGTCTGAATAAACATTAAAAAAATTTTTTTTTAATAAAAAATAAAAATCTTCAAAGCAAAAACAAACAACCTGAAGTTCTCGTTAGAATTCATCTGTTAAAGAAAAAACTGCAGCTGAACTGGGCTGGGGTGGGGCAGAGCCCAGTGGCCAAGGGGCGGGCACTGTGCTGGGTGCCGAACGTGTGTTCTCACTACACACACACACACACACACACACACACACACACACACACACGCCCCTTCCTGGGAAGTAAACACTTCCCACTTCACCCAGAACAGACTGAGGCAGGTGCAACACTGCGCACAGCGAGCCTCTGGCTGAGCACTGGGGTCCTCACTGCAAACTGTGTCCATTCCCTGCAGATCAGGCTGCCTGTCCCTAACAAAGTTCGAGGTCACACCGAAAACCCACGCCACGCCTATCCCCAAGCCAGGGTGCTCTGGAGAAAAGAAAGTTTGATTCGCTCAGAAAGCAACCCGAGGGGGCTTCCGACTCTCGATGGTGGCTCAGGCCACGATCTCACGGGCTGTGTGGGGTGGAGGCCCCGTAGGGCTCTGCGCTGACGGCAAGGAGCCCGCTTGGGGTCCCCTCTCTCCCTCTCTGCCCCTCCCCCCGCTCGCTCTCTCAAGAAATAAACATTAAAACGAAAAGCAAAAGGAAGACATGACAAAGGAAGCAGCCCCCGTGATCCCCGAGGAAGGACAAGGGGCACCCTGGCGCGGATTCTTCCCCGCTGTTTAAGGACCTCTGACTGGCCCGGGGCTGGACGCTCCCTGCGGGCGGGTGCGGGTCCCACATCCACGCAGGCAGGGGCCCCGAAAACCGCGTGACGACAGCACACGACCACAAAGTGCGGGCGCGGCCGGGCACCGACGCCAAGGCGGCCGCCGCAGGGGCCCCGCAAGCCCGGTCCGCACGACGCCCGCTTGCCGCCACGGCCCCCGCAGGG